GAGGGTCAGAGGGAGAAGCAGACTCCCCGCTGAGCAGGGAGCCCGATGCGGAACTCGATCCCGGGACTCCAGGATCATGACCTGAGCTGAAGGCAGTTGCTCAACCAACTGAGCCACCCAGGCGCCCTCAAGGGATTTCTGAAAGAACAGGTGCTCTTGCCTCAGATTTTCAGATAGAAGTTTGAGGAAATAACTAATTATAAAGATTAATTTTATATTGATGTTCATATCCCGATCTGATTTCCTGAAGGTAAGGTCTAATGTATTTTTAAATAAAAATACTTAACATTGCAAATTTGAAATAAAAACAGTAATGTTATTTAAAATATAAAGGAAAGAATGGGAAACTCGGGTCTCCCTAGCAATGTGGGACACCCTCTCCAAGATGATATATTAATCCATTGCATTCAAATCCTGCTCATTTTCTCCCTGGACTCAATCCATTTACTACCAGGCCATTGGCTCCAGGCTGTGTGTTCACGTTCTTTATTCACTGCCTTGCACCTACAGTTAATTGGGACACATTGCCTAGATAACAGAAAAATCTGGCTGATACACCTCCCACTAATAATAGGGATCATGACCTTGATTGTGACCCATGACCTTGATAATGTGGAGTTCACTTAGAACATCTCACTATACTCACAATAATTTAACTGGTGATTTACCTACATGGACGATACACATTGTCTGAAATGGGTAGCCTGAGCTTAGAAACTTTCAGTATTAGCTGCATAGCTTCAGGCACATCTGTTATCTGGTGGCTCAGTTTCCTCACCTATAAAACAGGGACAACAATAGGACCCACCTCTTAGGATCACTGGCAGGATTAAATGAATTAACACATGTAAAATACTTAGAATAGTGCCTGGTCCTTAGCGAGCACCTAAACGTTAGCTATTATCTTTACTATTATTAAAGTACTGCTCACTCGGAATTAGTCCTATTTAAATACAGTCCAGTGAATGATCTTTCGGTCTCAGAATTCCATACAGACATGAGAGATTATAACCAACCAGGTAAGCATACCTCCATATGAGGGAGGTCTTAAAATTTTGTGATCTTTTAAGAACAGAACTTTTCTACTGGTGGAGGTTTACTTATGGTCCAAAGTAGATGATCTGATCCAATTGCTCTGATACATGAGTAAAGTTAAAAAATGAAATGGGGACGGGCAGGGGAAGCTACACAGATAACCAAAACTCTTCAACCCCTAGTCATTGTTCTTTCAGAGTTGAAGATATTTATAACAACACTGCTATTAGGGTGTAAGTTTCTTTAGAAAGAATAGCATATAACCTCATTTTAACACATACACAGTAACCTCAAATTTCTAGAAGTTATGATATATATACAGATAGATAGATAGATAGATAGATAGGTATATACAGAGAGAGAAAGAGAGAGAGATCAATTCATATGAACACCCTAGGCTGTTAACTTTCAAGACCTGTAACTGGGGTCTTTTTCTTGGTGTAATCTTGAAGCCTGCATACTTCCTTGGCCATGCTAACCATGGGAACTGTTCTTGGCTTCTAGCTCCAGTTCAACAGCGATTTGGTGAGATGTCTGTGACAATCAGTGTAGATAGAACTTTATCTTATTTTTTCTTCCCCCTCTGTCTGCACTGGCAAAACAATGTTATCAAATAGTTTTACTCGGGATGGTCACAAGAACCTGGGAACATTGTACTTCAGCCTAAACGTTAGCAGAATTCGGCAACGAAATATCCCTACTGCGATTAACAACCACTCATTCTTTTCAGGTGTTCAGGTTAAAGACTTGGGAGTCAATCTTCACTCCTCCTATACTCATACCTCATACCAGTTTATCAGAAATACTGTGTCTCTGCTTTAAAAATAGCCAGAAACCAATGACGTCCTATTACCTCCACAACTACCCCTGGTCTAAGCCATCATATCGCACCTTCATTATTGCAATACTCTTGTAACTGGTCTCCCAGCTTCCACTCTTACCCGCCTTATGGCCTAGTCTCCACACACAATATGATCCTTTTAAAAGTTAAGTCACAATCAGGCCACTCTTCTGTTCAAAACCTCTCAAAAGATCCCCGTCTTGTTCAGAGTAAAAGTCGGATCTCTTACAAAAAGCCTATATATGGTCCTAAGCCTGTGGCTCCCTTCACCAGCCTTCCTCACTTCTACCTTCTGACCTCTTCTCTACCTCCCTGGAGGAGCCTGGAATGCTCTTCCTCCTTCCTTCTTCATGCAGTCACCTCAGTGAGGTCCATCCTGACTATCCTACTACTTAAATATGCATGTCTCCACACACCTAAGCATTTCCTATCCCATACTCATTTTATCACTAATACAGAAACTCCGAACTTCCTGGCAAGTTCCCAGGTAATGCTGATGCTGGGGGTCCAGGAACCACACTTTGCGAACCACTGCTTCAGGAGAATCTCTCCTCCCAGATTCTCATTCTTTGTGATTTGGGTAGGGCTAAATTACTTAAACTTCAGGGACCTCCAGACTACCCAAGTGTCTCTTAACTCAGAATGCCAGGCCCCACCCTTACAGTTTTTTTCTGATTGGGCAGGACTGGGGCAAGAGCCTGAGATTTGCATTTCTAACAATTACCCTTTGAAAACCACTGGTTTCCTTGTTTCTGTTTCCTCTCCATAAGAATATAAACTCTATGAGGCAGGAATTTTTTCCTTATTTTCCGCTGTTTTCTCATGCAAAGGACAACACCAGGTACATAGTAGCTGCTCAAGAAATACATGTTGAATGACTAAATAAAAATCGCTTATCCTAGTGTTATATCAAAAAATTTCTAACTTTATCTTGCCAGATTCCGTATGAAGAAATACAAAGCTAAAAGTACTTATAGTTTAATCCTCTCAGGCAAGAAAGCATTTTAAAGCAGTAAGACACAGAGACAACTGGGATTTCCTGATATATGGGAAATAAATTGTTGATAATTGACATTATTAACATTAAGGTTAATAACAATAAACATTTGCGGTCTGCGACCAACTGCTGAGCACTTCATGTAAAGTATCTCGTAACAAATTCTGAGGAAGCTAGCGATGTTGCTTCCATTTTAAATAAGCGCTCTCACACCACAGTCCACTTATCAGTGAACTCCAGGGTTTCCACATTATCTTCTCCCCTCAATGTGCCCTCCCAACTGGGAGCAACAAAGTAGGATGTAAAATAGGAGTTGACAGTTTTCTTTCTAGTGTCCAGACATGTTAAGATCTGAATTAAAATTTGCTGGATTTATTTACCTCTTGTAACACACGGAAGATAATCCTGGACTCTCTTCTACTACAATAAAGGTCCAGAGGAATGCATCAGAGCACCAGAGTTTTAGATGCAAATGTTGAACTCTACAGAGGTTATAAGAATTTAGTTCTGAAAGATAGGAACACATTTTTCAGGAGGCATGGTTTGTGGGGCTTGTATCTTCAATACCTTAGAATAGTTTATTCTGTCTGAATGTTCATTCTATCAAACCCTATGCATTACACTTAGGCAAAGAAAAATTAAAAGACAAATGATTATGAGTTAATGATTCATTTTCTTTCAAAGAGACTGTTAGAACAGGGGTCAGCAAACTTCTTCTTACAGGGCCAAATAGTAAATATTTTAGACTTGCAGGCCATCTAATTCTGCAGTCAGGGAAAGCCAACACAGATTAAACATAAATGATGGGTATGGGTTTTTTTCAATAAAACTTTATTTACACAACAGGTGGTCTGCCCACTGACTATACATAGTTTGTGGACCCCTATGTTAAATGACTCCAATCTCAATGGGATGAACGAAATGGACCAGATAAATTTCAGGTAAATTTGGCAAATTTACCTCTTTCCTTTTAAAAACTGTTTTTTTACTATAGAAATATCCATATTCCTATATAAACATAATGACTTCAATAATGACAAACTCTAGCATGCAAATTAAAACACATCTGGCTCTGTAATAAGCTGAACAAGTTAAAAGAATCCTTTTATTTATTTTTTACACAGCACAAATGCAGGTGACACACAGTAAGTCCATAATCTCCCACAAAACTTAGAAATTTAACAACTGAGAGTCTAAATTCTTATAATCTTCTGCATCGCTCCTAGCTATACACTGTATGGAATCCATTCCATAGCAGCAGAGGAGAACCTTAACTTTAAGCACCAAATTTCCAGGCATTACTACAAATGTCTTTTTTTCATTCCCTAGTACATGCAGTCAAACTGCTTATGAATAAATACCAATTCACTTTAAGCTTCAATGGAGAAGGGAAAGCAGTTGGGAAACCAACATTATTCTTAAATCTAAGAGTGATTCCACCTCTTTACCTTGTATTTTCTTCCATAAAGATTTTAACTTTTAATGTAGTGATATTAAACATGAACATAAATTTAATTTTGAACATAATCCCTTTCGGATTTATCGAACAGTTTAGGATGTTCATATTTGTTTTATAAATCCAGAGGAAAACAAAAACATGATCTCTAATCTAGCATATTCTGGCAATTTTTATTAAAAGTTAAATTTAGAATTTTATAGCAAAATAATATAGTCTGTGTGTCCAAATTATGATTAAAAAATCCCTAATTTATGTATATTAAGATACAATGCGAACCCCAATACATTTTATAGAAGTGTGTTTTCATTTCCTGAAGCAGGATTCAATGGGCATTTTTAGGATTTTGCTCACATCAGCCCTGTACACCCGGAGATTACTGGATCCACTAAATGGACAATGAAAACTGGTTGAGGCTGCTGCTGAATGCTTCAACAGGAATCTGATACACAGACACAGATTTCATTGTTATAGTCAATGCAACTGAAGTCTTCCTTAAAACTGTGCTCCTGATAGGCTGAAGACAGAGTAATGGACTGTTAGTTCTTTAAGCCAAAAATGCATGGATCTACTGTACAAAGGCTTCATTCTCTGCCTGTAGTTAGTAACTTGAGGGCCTTCTGTAGATTCTGCACAGCAGTGCTGACATCTTCATATTGCAAAGCACTTCCAGCATATTTGCAGTATTTCTGGGCTCTAGCAAAGTCCTCGGGTGTTAGACGGATATCCCCTAGAAGAAAAACAGAGTGATTAAGATATCTGTAGGAATCTACAAAGTGTTCCATTAGGTTAGGTAAATGCTTACATTTAGGACTGTAGGTTATACAAAAACATGAAGGTTTTTTTTTTCAACCCCAGGTGTAAATATTTAACTAAGTATTTTCATGCTTTTCACTTTTTTTCTTACTAACTTAAACCATACACGTGCCAATACTAATAACTTATATGAAAAGATTTTTCTTCCAGAGGTAATAAACTAGAAGCCTTTATATGTTGATAAATTAACTGCAAAAAAATTATATTCTGTGTAAAAAAAGAATAGTAGCTTTGGTTTTCATCCTAGAATTGCTGAGCCTCTCTTTTCATGGAACAATACACACAGACTAAACCATTCAACCCTCACTTGAGCGAGAATATAAATAGAATTCTCAATGAAAAGAATAAATAAAATTATTTAAAAAATTACATAAGTCATTTAACTTTTTTAGCATGTAAATATTTTGTTTGTGTGCCATCCATATAAAAACCTCTAGTTTAATTATCATTAAATTATAAAACTAAACATATAAACAACCTTTACAAATTATGTCCAAAATTTATTCTCACCAAGTTTTCCAGTTACACATATGATTAATAAGGGTAGAACCCGACTAAATAATCTGGGTAAAACCAAAAAAACAACTTCACTTGGGGCGCCTGGGTGGCTCAGTCGTTAAGCGTCTGCCTTTGGCTCAGGTCATGATCCTAAGGGTCCTGGGATCGAGCCCCGCATCGGGCTCCCTGTTCGGCGGGAGGCCTGCTTCTCCCTCTCCCACTCCCCCTGCTTGTGTTCCCTCTCTCGCTGTGACTCTCTCTGTTCCAAGTAAATAAAAAAAATCTTTAAGAAAACAAAAAAACTTCACTTAATCTAAGGTTTGAATATGTATTTCTAAAGATGAAATTAAAAACTGACTTTGTGCCTTGACTTCTGAAATACCATTTTCTTTAGAATTCTTTATAAGGATATTAAGAACAGATCAGAAAGAAGGCTGGGGCACAGAATGTAACAAACAAATAATATATTTCAAATTCTGTTTATAAATGAAGTTAATATATTTCTATTCTGTTTATAAGCATGTACTTATAAACAGACTATCTTTATTTAGTTGCTTTTAATTTTGCTATATGTATGTATACATACATACACACACATACATACATACATACATGGCATATAATGAAAACTCTGATATTACAAAGTAGGTAATGACTCCAGGTATCCAGATACTAAGTTCTGATCCAAATCATTATTTTCTAAAATTTTCAAGAGTTCTGAAACAATGTATCCTAAAGTTTCTAGGCCAAAGCCAGGCACCCATAAGTACTGAATAACTTTAATGAATGAATATAAAAATGCTGTGTGTACATTATTTCCTACATTTTAAAATAAAGTTCATACAGAATTAAACATTAATGAAATTTCAGATTTTAAGATAATACACATAGATCTACATGTAGTAATTAGCCCAGTGTGTGACATATAAAGTCTTTAAAATTTTTTTTTTTTTTTAAAGATTTTATTTATTTGACACAGAGAGAGATAGCGAGAGCAGGAACACAAGCAGGGGGAGTGGGAGAGGGAGAAGCAGGCTTCCTGCCAAGCAGGGAGCCCGAT